CGCACACACGGCGCGCCGCCAAGGAGCTCCCGAACACAGGGCACGCCGCCAAGGAGCTCCCGCACACACGGCGCGCCGCCAAGGAGCTCCCGAACACAGGGCACGCCGCCAAGGAGCTCCCGAACACAGGGCGCGCCGCCAAGGAGCTCCCGAACACAGGGCGCGCCGCCAAGGAGCTCCCGAACACAGGGCACGCCGCCAAGGAGCTCCCGAACACAGGGCACGCCACCAAGGAGCTCCCGAACACAGGCTCCCAAACACTACGCACTACCCGGCAGCTTTGGCCATCATGCATGTAGCTATGGGTCACTTTAAGCTAAGAGAAAAGCTTCAGCGTAAAATGCATCATGAACAACTTCAAAACCTCCAAAAGAATTTTTTTTTACATTTATTTATCAGATTCTTTTAACCAAAGCGACATGTTTTTGTGAAAGCAGAACCAGCCAGATCCTGAAGCACCTGGGGACTAAGGGCCTAGCTCAGGGGCCCTTGAAGTCAGTCTGCCAGCCCTGGGGTTTGAACTGGCAACCATCCAATCACAGACATAGTGTTTTAACCCGCTGAGCCACACGCTGTCAACCCAAATTCACTGATCAAACACTCAAGGGACAGATCGATATTTTGGTCCGATCTCATTACAGACTAAATGAAACTGCAGAGAACGTTCTAATGCTGGCCCTATACCTGCTGAGTAACTCATATCTCATTGAAGAGAGCAAAAAATGCACATCACATCTACATACCACTCCTACTCATAAAAGCTCCTTGCCTTCGTTAAAAACTTTTAGCATAGATATCTTATTGGTATTACTTTATCACCTCTGCATAAGGAAACCTGTTCCTTGTTCTGAGAAGTAAGTCAAGGCAGCAAGCTTTATGATCCTGCCTGAGACCCACATGCCAGTTACCTGCCTGGGTACATGCTGTCCCCAACATCACAGTCTGCCCTATATGAATGTATGTGATACGCCTATTAATTAGCGGAATCGGCTAATTAAGATACACCCATTACCGGCAACATGGCATCAGCATAGGCAGCCATCTTTCCAACAAGTCAGTTCACCAAATTCCTGCCCAGTAGCTAGAGCTGCCCTGGTCACCAACAATTGAAGGGATTGTGAAGGTCAAAATGTCTGGGAGCATGTTGGGTTGTGTAGCCCGCAGAAAGGGACCTGACAACCTGAAGGACAGCAGATCCCACCAGCAATGTTCCAACATTGAATGGAAAGCAAAATGGTGTCCGACCTCATAGCAATACCTTTGGTTTCACAATAAGGTGTTGAGCAAGCTGACATCCACAAACTATTTGCGACATGGTGTAGGTGATGAAGGAATGAATGAATGAAAGTTGCATTTATACAGCGCTTTTCAAAACACCCAAAGTGCTTTGTAGAATATCTCTTACGTCTCATGCGAAAGATGGCACCATTTTTACAGCACCCTGCCCCCATCACTGAATGGGGGCACTGGGATCCACACAGACCCAGAATGCGCTGACCTGTTGGTCACACCAACACCTCTTCTGATGTTGTTCCTCACCTCATGCTAAGATGAAACAAGCTATTCCTTTCAACTAAAACTGCACATCCAAGGTCCAAGTCCCAGCATCAGGAAAAAAAACAGAATAAAGCAGCGCAAGTTCAGCAAACTAAACAAATGTTTTTTTGGGATCAGTCGAATTGCCAGTGGAGATAATTTAAGTTTTGCTGTCTACAGAAGCTCTTATACTGCATGAGGCCATGGAGCAGCTGCAGGACCATAAGGAGATAACGTGCAGAGAGGATCTGAAAGGGAGCCAGCAGCGGCACGTGAGATTTCCCACAATGACACGGTGCAAGTGGACGGCAATGCTGTCAGCGTGGAGAGCAGAAGGGGCAGCGGCGACGCAGCGCCGAGCCACGCTGACACAGGCACACGCCGGCCAGCACGCCCCAGGACCTCCACGCTAATTAAATCACTCAGCAGAAAGGCCGACTGCCGGGGGTGAGGACTTGAGTACAGAATGGCGCTTCAGCTAGGCGTAAACAGGGCTGGGTCTTTTCCCCATCTTTTGAAGAGACAGGCGCTCCTTAATGATCAATAGGTGCACGGTGACCTTGGGAACAAGCAGACCTTGATCGAGGGGAAGACGCAACCCTGGAAATATGAGGTTGTCTTTGACAATCAGCGTCTGCACTCGGCAAATTCACAGGCGGGGGCTTGCACAGCTTCATCAGGCCCCCCCTCGAGTGTTTTTTTGCAGGGTCACATTCAGTCTGCTTCTGCCATTTAATTAAAGGTTAAAGAGCCAAGAAACATGCTGGTAATACCTTTGAGAGCCAGAAAAGAGGAACAGAACAAAACGGCTGAAACTAAGACTCACTGACCTTACAGTTCGTAGGCAGCCACCTTTAAACCTCCACTGAATCAGCTGCAGACTTCCGCATAACGAGTGAGAGTCATCTTTAAAAGCTCCGCCCCTAATAGCAACATCAGGGACAGTGGTGGCCTAATGGTTAGGGAATTGTTCTTACAACTGAAAGGTTGCTGGTTCAAATTCCCGACGTGAAAGGGGGCCACTGAGTTACCCTGAGCAAGTTACATTTACGGTAATTGGCAGATGCCCTTAGGCAGGGCGACTTAATTAAGTGCTGTCATATAGTACCCCCCCCCCCACACACACACGCAGGGGTGCTAAATAATAGCTGTACACTGCTGTGTCACATATGGGTAACATGCAGGACACATTTCATTGTTGTGTGCAGTGGTGTGTCGACAATTAATCGCATTCACTATCATCCTACATGATAGTGACAACATGACAACAACACAACCTCAGGACCGAACTAAGCTTCCTCGCTCGCTACTGCTAACGGTGTGCAGTCATAACAACATGGAGGCCGTGATCAGGGGTTGGGGTTAGGGTTAGGGTTAGGGTTAGGGTTAGGGTTAGGGCCGTGAGTGCCGTTCACAATTAAACAAGCCAGAGCCACAGACTTGACCAAGCATTGTAGACAAAACATTACTACTGACAGAAAATATGCTAACTTTTACAAGAGCGTATCAAGGCAGGAAGCTCAGTCATACAAAAAAATGAAAGTGTACAGAGAGAGTAAAATAAGCAAATGTCTCACCGGCAGAAATATTTTAAAACCATTTCAGCCACATTTTCTGCAAAGATCATCTGACATCTCGCCCATGTAAATTGGATGGATGTGCTTCATCAAGGTTTCTGAGATTAAATTAGTTTAATCAGATTAATTACAATGAGTCAGTGAGGACAGGGAAACACCATAATACCTACTCTTCATAACCCAAACCCCAGCTGTCGTGTGCAGATGTTTTTGTCAGTTTCTAGTTTATTATCCCATTTAATTATAGCTGGGCATTATAAGGTGGTGGGGGGGGGCTCCTCCTTAGGCTGGGAAAGGGATACAACCCCTGCCTGTCAGAATGGGACTGATGTTACATCTGAATACCGAGGACACACTTCACAGTGCTCCAGAGTCTGCCCTTTTTTTTGGGGGGGGGGGCAGGCCTGCTTTGACAGATGGGATAACAGGGATGCAAGAGAGAGAGAGAATGATGGAGAGAAGGAAACCCGCAGGTCGCTAATACACAGCGAAACTGAATACTGCTAATCAGCTTCCAAAGCTTCCAGCACCCAAGGGTCACTCTCAAATCCAGACATCAAACTCGGACGTCTCCATCAGTGAAGCAGCTGTACAGTAGGATGTCAGGTGGGTACGTCATGTGACAGTGGGAGCTTACTGGGACGAGAGTCCGTCACAGGCCACCTGGAAGCTCCTCAAGGTGTGTTTTTACTGATAGAAAGATCAAAGGAAGCTGTTTCTTCTCATCCGAGCCTCTCAGAGTCATAATTTAAATCATTGTTTTACTTTATTAATTAGCACTTCCATTCCCTGCCTAAGACGGCCCAGTGGGTAGCACTGTTAACTGATACTGCCAGGGTCAAGGGATTGTGTTAAAAATTAAGTTAAAAAGCCTAATTAAAATGAGCAGGTTATGATAATTATCATTAAAGCCTCTTTTCCAATGTACCACAGTTTATACCAGCAGTCAACTTTTTAATAGACTTAAATAACACAAAACATGCTGGCTACCTTAACATGAGACCTTGAAAAAATAGCTAATTATCTGATAGCTATCAGTTGCCATATCTAAATATCTAAAAGATGATTACCAGACAGCATAAAAAACTCCTATATTAACGAACGACCTCTTAATTTTCAGAGGAACATCAGCAAAACGTGCAATATGGCCGCAAGTTAAACCACAAAAGGCCTGCAGTCCGTCTCTGAGACCACTGATCGGGGATATCAAATGCTGGACGTGTGGGGGTGGTGAGCTAATGTCTCCCCTCACTAACAAAAATTGGACATTCACACACCAGCAATCACTCAGCTGTTAGCGGTGAAAAATCCAAATAAATCACAGTCATTTTGAGCAAAATAAGAAATGAAAAAACTAATAACCTTGGTGACCTTTTTGTCCCAAAATACCAAGTCCATGTTTTGGAATAAATCTGTTGGAATAAAGTTTAAATGCACTGCCAACTGCCCTTGAGTATTCGTGGTAAAGATCAATAGATGCCTTTGCTGCTCATGGAAATCCAAGCCCTTCATGACACAATTCTCCCCAATTCTCAGATCTTTGTTGACCTGTGGAACCAAGGGCAGCTCCAGCAAATGCATAATACCCTCAGTTAGCATCCAGCAGGGTACCAAGGGATAGTTACTCATAGGTCAGAGATAATGGCAGGGATAGTTACTCATAGGTCAGAGAGAAGGGCAGGGATAGTTACTCATAGGTCAGAGAGATGGGCAGGGATAGTTACTCACAGGTCAGAGAGATGGGCAGGAATAGTTACTCATAGGTCAGAGAGATGGGCAGGGATAGTTACTCACAGGTCAGAGACATGGGCAGGAATAGTTACTCACAGGTCAGGCAGACGAGCAGGGCTCGCACGACCAGCTCGCAAGGTACCCTCCAGGCTTCCTGCAGCCGTGCCCTCAGCGGAGGCAGGATGATCTCCGCAGGCACAAAGAACTGGATGGAGTAACTGAGAAACACGCCAAAGGAGTAGAGGATCTTCACCATCTGGTTGGTCCTGCACACAAGGGCACATGACTCACAGTCAAGCACAGAACAAAAGCAGGCCAACGTGAAAGTCTCACTGCATCTGGCGAACACTAAGCTCTCAATTGGTTTTGGTTTCAAAAACAACAAAACATGATCCAATTGCACAAGTGTGTAACTGCCGTAAATCTTAAGAAACACGGCTTTTTATGGAATACCAGCTACCAGCCGTAAACACTTTTTTCACCACACCTGCGGGACATTCAGCCTACTTTTCCTATAGACACTATTTTTGTCCATTCTGAGAGAGTGAGGCTGTGTTTCAGGAACAGAGACATTACTTCCCTCATGAAGGCTGGAAGCCATTGTCTTGGAGGAAGTTGAGCGAGAGCTGATAACACGGTTGCCATGATTAACAACCCAATCAACGGCAGTCATCCCCAATCTCACCAGCACAGATACGGGAGCTGTGCTGGCCAGAGGAGGCACCACCTGCTCTTGCAAGATACATGACCGTAAATCATCTCATTGTTCTACTGTCGCGTTATACTCCATTACAATACGGCCTGAAAGAGACACCCAGATTATCTGCCAAGATTACGAGTTAAACTCATATCGCTTCAAAAAGACGAAGGGGATCATTGCAAGATCAGAAAGGTTTCTTTTTGCTTTTTTGCATGAGATCAGGGATGCCGTGAGAGTGCCACTAACCAAGTCAGTGACACCGATGTCCCATAGACGTGTCACTTCAGCACCTCACCCCGTCCCTTGCCAGCACTTGTGAGCCCAAAGTCCCTCTCCAGTGCTCCAGCTTTAAAGCTCTTACGCTAATCTTCTGGCAAGACCCAAAAAAAGGTAGGACTTGCCATTGATCAGGAAATTAATTAACAGACAAACGACCCTTTAAGTACCTTACTGCCTTTGATCAAGATCAGATTCAGTTTCCTGGGTGTGTACAACCTCGTGCCCGAGCTGAAGCACGAACCATGGGACCTGCCCTCCACAAAGTCTTTCCACAATACCAGCCTAATACTAACAAGCAGGAGGGGGTGTTTCTAGGATTAGCATTAGCATACGGCTGGGAAATGATTAATAGGGGTTATCATAGTGAGATAGCCTATTTTGGGGGTAGGAGGGGGGCACTCACGAGCACTTAAAAAGCAACTATTTCTTGTTACTGCTTATCAAGGCCTATAGCAGAGTTGGAGAAAATGAAATTAGGTCACCCCATCCTTAAATACCGCATAAGACACCACAATGGAGA